AGCCAGATGGGTGTGGGAGGAAGTGGAGGATGGGGAAGTGAGGGCTAAGCAAGTTGAAGAAGTCTTCAGCCTAGGCAGTGTGAAAGAAGTGTTTCACGTTCCTTAAAGGAAAAGGAATTTTTTTCTCCAAAAAACCTGAAAAGTCTTGCTACTTTCTAGATACTATAATACTTGATATTAGACTTAAGAAGTTAAAATGTATGAAAACATGAGGCTTTATATCCTATGACTGTTAGATGATGGATAGTGTGTTGCCTCACCACACATGTGAATCTTGGCAATGCACCAGAATGGCACACACCCTATAGTCTCCTGTTTCTTAATACATCTCCATTTTCTCAGTCCCTTTCTTTTCTGGAACTTCTTCAGTATGAGAGCAGTTTCAGAAGCACATAATCAAAAAATAAGGAAAAATATTTCCCTCACATCTTGCTTCCTGTGCTATCCAAACTGGCCTTCTCACCGGTCATAGCACTCGGGATGGAGTGGAACATTTTTATTTTCCTAATTTTTACAAAGAATAATGTGAAACTTAAGAGTTTTGGACAAATTATCCTGACCCATTCTAATGTCCTCTCTTTTTTTTTCTCCAAATAAAACACTTCTGTATTACCTTGTTCTGATTGTTTATGCAGATCACAAAACTGATAATATCTCGGGACATTGGGAATGCACAAGAAGATATTGTCTTTATGGTCTTTGGAGAGGGATTGCAGGGGGTGAAGAAAACATTTTTCAGAAGTAAACTTATCTAAAGGTATTTTAAAGGACAGCAATGTATTTTAATATTTCTCTTTAAAGCTTAGTAAACCTGTTCTTAGAATTCAGACATGTTCTTGTACAAACAAGGATTCTGATATTTTAAAAGTTACTTCAGCTTCTGAAATCCTTGTAATGTTTCATCTACTGTAAATTACTTGTTCTCAAACCATATTAACTATTATGTTAGTACTGGAGGTTTTTATAGAAGGGGAAAAAAGCAAAACATTGTGGTGCAAGTCTGGTTACCTGAAAGCTTTAGGGAAGCTGTTTCCCAGTAGCAAGGGAAAACAGTATCCTTCCAGTGATCCAGGTAGGCTGGCTTAGGGAAGGAGGTGAAATGCTAACTTATGTTAACTTGGCACATCTTAATACAACTGATCAAAACGATCCTTTCCAAGAGCATTAGCAATATTTTGCAGCTCTCGTCCTTGGTAAAATTCCTGTTGAAGAAGAAGGCTTGTCATTTGTTTTTCTCAGATAGGGGTTGAACAGGGGACACTGATATGGCCTTTGTACTATGAAATAATTACAGCCATTCTGTTTACTGCTTTTAATAAATGAACTTTCCAACAAACAGCCTATTCTCTTATTTGTTTGAGCCTAAATATTTTCAGCTCTACACAATTGTAAATTGGCAAAAATACCAAGCATTTTTCAGTTTGATATGAGAATATTTCCTGTAAAACATGTTTGTCTTCCAGTTTAAGAGCTTTCTGCTTATGGTGTTAATCTGCTGAGATCTGTGGAATGTGCTAGTCTTTTGAAACTTTCACACAGTAAACCTACATGGCTTTAGTGAGGAATAAACTGAAAAGGAGTATGTCTTTAATACTCCTTTGGTGTATAAATGAAAGCAATAGCAGGAGATATATATATATACACACATTTAATAACAGCAACAGAGATCCTGAACCTGTATTGTAGTCCACAGGTGGACTCTCTCACCCATGCAATACCTGGTATTGTGAGTCATGTCTGTACTGTGGAACACCTGGGAGCATTTTTCAGCTGGGATTTCAGCTCCAGCACAGCTATGGTTTCATGTTTCTTGGGAACCAGATCCGAATGCTTACCAACTTCCACACAACTTTACCCTCTTAGTGCACGTATACTGTCATTCTCAAATGTAGCAAGGAAATGACAGATTTCAGCTGCTGCTTTAAAAAACAGGTTTTACTGTATTTCTGTTGTGGTACTTGGCAGCACAATGGAATTTTTTAATGTCTTGCAGTTCATCCTCACACCTTCAGAGTAGACCAGAATAGTAAAAGGCTTGTATCCCTCACTCCTGTAAATGAAGATGAGGAGTAGCTCTAATATCAGTTCCTGTAGTGAAAAGTTACACAGAAAAATGGAAGTCAAAAAGTGTGTGTATGCAGATTTCCATTTTGCTTTATTGTAGGTGATAGGTAAAAGTAGTCTGTTAGAAGAGGCCAAGTGTTACGGAATACTTGGCTTCTTCAGCTCTGATTTGCACACTGAAATCACAAGATTTAATAAAATGTGCATGGCTTCCAGTTTCTTCATGGTAGTTATCAGAAGTTTTACTAAATCCTTGAAATGTGATTGTAAATGTTCATTTGAAAAAGTCATCATGACAGAATATTTTGCAGTGACACTTTCATTGTTTGGGATTTTTTGGGGGGTATCTCCCAGCCCCCACTCTCCTGGGAATGTCCTGTTCTCTGTTTTCTTTTGCAGTTTCACTGTAGAACCGGAATTGTGGGGAGAAAAGTTAGGTAAGACTTGATAGGCAATTTTTTGTTGAGGAAGCATTTGGGGGGAAAAAAAAACCCACTTCCAGCTCAAGTTAGTCTGCAGTCATTACTGGTTTTATCAATAGTGAGGAGAGTCCCCAGCAAAAGCCAGAGAAAATAAAAAACAGGGCAAAGGCTCTATAATGCCACGTATGTTGCATACAAGCCTAGTGAAAGTACAATACAGTTGTCTATGCAGAACTTAACATAAGGGAGCTTTCCAGTTTCTTTTCCTGTGGCACAACACTGCCAGCAGTAGAAATATTCCTTCAGTTGTGTCATGCAAATCTTTCTTTTGTGTCTGTGACAATAAGAAAACTTTCCTTCACTGACAGAAAACAAGGTCTCGGATGCACAGAATATTTTTCATAAATAATATCCAAAACTGCTAAGCAGTGAATCAATTGTGTCAGCATGTTGCCAAATATAAAAAGTCAGGGAGAGTTGAAGAGAAGAAAGAAAATAGAAGGGAGAAATTGTAGGTGGTAATAATGTGGACTTACATTATGTCTTTGTCCCTAATTTAAAACTTTGTCACAGGGAATTTCTGTATCTGAACTTGTGTAATAGGGTTTTGTGTTTCACAATCTCCTTTTCATTAAATATTTTCTTTAGAGATAAGGTAGGTACATTTTAGTAAAAGAGAGAAGCGAATACTGAAGGAAGAAGGCAAAGCTAAAGACTCCAAATCACATCCTGAAATTTGGAGAATTAACAGTGCCAATCTCCACTTGGAATTTGTGGGGTTTTTTTTATTTCATGAATTTGATTCTTCTAGATACCATGGTGGGTTTTTGTCAAATCTTTTGCATTTACTAATGAATATCCACATTTAAAGAGAGAAAGATTACCAAAGCTTGACTGTACTTGAAGTATTATATCTAATCCTAAACCATGTGCTGCACTCCTAATAACCTTAGGGTTCTACCAAAACAAACAATTTATATGGGTAGAAAACCAGTTGCTTATGTGATGCTGGTCCCAAGACTGTTGCAAGGAATGCTAAGACTTGGGCAAGATTCTTCCTTGTGCCTCAAGGTAATCTCTGCTGTTCTGAGGATGCATCTCTTCTTTTAAATCTCTGCTGAATTTCCTTTCCCAGGGCAGGGCTTGTGACTCAGCCTGGTTAAACACAATTAATGCATCAGATTGTCAGAGACAGTGTTGGAGCTTGCTATAAACCTGCAGGCATCTGGATGTTAGGGGTGGCTTGCTTTTGTGAATGAATTCCAGTCACCAGGGATAGAACCTATAAGGGCTTAGGCCGAAATGTAGCAAAGCTGACATCTTGCTACCCTCAGGAACTTTGGCTGATGTTTCAGCTCTCAAGATCAGCTGGGCACTGTAAAAAGACCTGCCCTAAAAACCTCACTCTTTTTTTTTTGTTTCTATGATGTTTATAGTTACTGTGGGGTATGGGATGTACATACAGCTCTTGTGCCTACGGAGACTGAGGCTGCTGCCATATCAGGGGGTCATAAGTGAGCTGTTGTACCTGCGGGCAGGACATGACCCAGAACAGACAGCAAGGTACTCCATCCCGCATAGGTCATGGTCAGTGTAAAGCTGAGGGATTGCAAGGGTCGAATCTCTTTGCCCCTTCTCTTTTCTTCCTCTGCTCCTTCATCTGCCTTGGATCCCGATCCATGTCTTCCTGAATCCTTCTCCCACTTGCTGCTGTGTCCAGTTTGGGACTTTTCCAGTGTCCAGCTCATCAGAGGTACTGGAGATGGAACTGTCATTTTAGGGGTGGGGGTAGGATTTGATATTGGTTTTGTATATATCTTTACACATTTAATTGTTTTCCTATTTACACGCTTATCCTGCAGTAGTAGTAGTATTCTATTTTCATTAAAAGTGGTAGTTTTCTTTTCCTAACCCATTAGTCTCTCTCCCTTATTCTCTTTCTTGTATCTTCCTGAGGAGGGTAGAGGGGTTGACAGGGAGGGAGCGTCTGTCCATCATTTAATGGCCAGCCCAGCCCTGAACCACGACAAAATTACTGGTGCTCAAGGTGAGGCAGACAGGGATTCTGTCAGATTTGGGCTCGCTCAGTTAACAAAGCATCAGGCTGTTTGCTTTGAGTCTCGAGGGGTTGGAACTCAAAATGGACAGATTGCATCGTGTCCGAGCGCAGTGTTATGTTGTGTCCCGTTAGTGCTTTCCTCAGAGTGTTAAGTGCCGCAGTGCTGCCCTGCCAGCCGCACGCGTTGCGTTATTGTTTTCTTCTCTTTAGTGTCTGTTTGCTGGGCGATCCGTGCGGTTTTTCTTTGGACTTTGAGAATGATTTATGCTGTGATGATGCGGGCAGTGACTTTCCCTGGGTATGTCGGGAGCTCTATAGTTCTGGGGGATGCTTTAGGGGTGCTGGGGTGAGCCTTTGTGGTGGTGGGGGCATCATTTTTCCTGGTCTCTAATACAACACATCTTTTGGTCCCCAAGGAGAGGCTATGTTTAAACATTGATGGTTTTTCCTCACAAATGCCTCAGTCAGTGAAGCAGAGTTGCGAGAAGAATGGCAAGGATCTGCACCGCCTGCGGGTGCGGGGTCTGTCAGCCACACGCGTCTGCATTTTTGCCTCGGGTGCTTGCGGCGTGGGCTTCAATGTGAGCGTTCAGAACGTGCGAGCTCTTGCTCTGTATTTTTTCACCTGAAGTATTTTAACACGAGTACTCGAAGCAATGTCTGAGCGTGTTAGCACCTGTGCAAAGCTTCCCTACCTCCATTTCTTTCTTCTCTAAGAAGCCAATGTTTGCTCCGCATTTTCTTTGCTGCTGGCCGGAGCCCAGCTCCGCAATGGTGAAAGGCTGGCTCCTGTATCAACATCAAAGAGGCTAGGATCAAAAGCTGATGTGGGGCCTCACCTTCCCTGGGAAGCACTTCCGTAGACCCACAAAGCCTGGGGCTGTACACTTCTGCACTTGGCTGGGTAGCCGACGTTTTCCCCTCTGTTTATTCACTTGCTATCAGGAGCCTGGCTATCAAAGCGCAAACGACGGGGTCCTGCTCCACCACCAAAGGGGCTAGGACTGAAAGCTGTTGTGGGGCCTCACCTTCCCTGGGAAGAGCTTCCATAGCCCCACAAAGCCTTGGGCTCTGCGCTCCTGTGCATCTCTAGGAAGCCAACGTTCACTCTGCATTGTAATTGAACCAACAGGGCTTTTAAAAAGGGAAGTTGCACTTCAAAAACCTCTTTGTTTTTGAACTGAAACCAACTGACAACTTTGTAGAAGAACTATCTTTCAAATGCTGTTGAATTCCAATACCAGGTTTTAGTTCAGGAAGTGCCTGAACTGTAAACTCTTGGAAAGTATCATGGTAAAATGTTGTTAGATGCTTTCTGTTTTTAACCTCTTCCCAAAGCATCAGTTGCTGGCCACTGTCAGGAACAGATTGCTGGGTTGGGCCTTTTGAACTGTATGGCCATTCTTATGTTCTTATGCTACACTGATAAGTACTCTTTATTTGGGGGAAGAAAAAGTTTTATTGGAAGATCAGTTGCAAATGAGATTTTGCTGCACTGTGCTCATCACTGTGTTGTGTTCTTTTCTTCTTCTGCTCTCCTTACTTCTGTATGCAGGTGGACAGGCACAGCTCAGTAGCTTCAAGTTCTTGCTTCTCTGGATATAGAGAATCATGTTTAGGGATGGCTGTTGCAGTCTGACCTTTTCTTGCAAAAACTTAGTCCACCCTTATCAGTTAATCACTCTTGGTTGATGGTTATGAACTTGTCTGCTACGATTACAGGAATGGCAAAATATGAGTATGTTTAACTTTATAATTCACTCCTCTTAAACAAAATACGGAAATAAAACACCAGAGGACTGGTTTTTAACTTTTGCTCTGCATATTTCATGCTGTCATAATTCAGGGCAATACTTTTTACGTCTATAAATAACAGTAATAAATATTTGTTTCCTAGGTGTGCCTTGCAATAGCTCATTATTCTCAGCCAACAGATCTTCAGCTTCTCTTTGCATTTGAGTATGTTGGGGAAATATATCATAATCCAGGTATGATTTTTGTCTCTTTTTTGTCCTATCTCATAATACATAACTTTAGTAAGACTTCTGTCTAGAAGCAATGGCAAAAAGCATTTGAGGCTTTCTCCAGGGATAATGAAATTGGTTTGTCCTGCACCCAGCTTACTACTTTTGGTTATAAGTCATTCGCTGTGATAGACATTAATGACCAAAATCAAAAGAAACGCCTTTCCTGTCTGAAACAAAACAGCACCTATGTCAGCATGAATACTCATATTTTTTTCAATTCACGCTTCGATCCTCCTATTGTATGTCTATATTGGTACTCTAGGTACCTAGCTAATCTCCCATCAGGCAGGCTTGTTCACCTGCCCTTCTTTTGGGAATAAGTTTCTCTTCTGGTGGTATTGCAGGAGGATTTGTGCAACTTGGGACTCCATACCTTCTTTCCTAGAGGCTTACTAGGCAGTTCTTACCACTCAAAACCTCCACCACCCCTGCTGAGTTGGAGCTCACCCTCTCTGCTCAAGGCCAATCTCCAACTGAACCTTGTCAGTTAGGTAAGCCTGAAAAAGATGCCTTTGGAACTTGATTTCTAGTGTAATGCTGTGCGGTCACTGCTTAGTGTTCCCCAGCCAATACACAGCTGAAAACCAGCACTTCTAGTGTGATAAGCCTCCAGATAGAGCAAGTACCATTGATGTAGTTCTGTGGTACTGAAGTATTTACTGAGCAGCTGGCACTAGAAACCACTGATCTGCCTGTTACCAAATTTGAATGTTGCGAAATTATGAGCTCAGGCCTTTTAATTTTGCACAAAATAATGCATGTATTTCATGCAGGTGCCTACATGACTGCATACGTGACTGTGCATGCACAAGAAAATATGTGCATGTGATTATGTTGCACACGTAATTATACCTATAATTTCTTACCTGATAAAACTTGGGCAGTTATTGAGTTTCATGTACTTTAGAGTTATAGAGTACTAGGGAGGAAGCCAATTTGCAGATAAAATTACAGTAAAATGTTAACGTGGAGTGTGAACAGAATGTTAGTCTGCCACAAAGTTGCCTTTACTCAGTCCTTAAGATACCATTTGCTGTATGAAAAATTATCTAGTGGAAGAATTACATAAGGTGGGTAAAAAATGTTGTTCCTCTGGAGCAGCAGACCAGAATGGCAAAAGTTGTTGTTCTGCTCTGCTGCAGTTGCTGGAGAAAATAATTTGGAATACTTATGGTTTGGGTTGAGGTTTTTTGTTGTTGTGAACCCTTTGCTTTTACAGTTCCAACACTGTTTTACTACTCTCTATCCCTGCTAGTCCCAGTAAAGCTGAAATACTGTCTTTGTGCTTCTTGAGGAAGCTCTGAGGTATATGTACAGCATTTTTCCCAGGCTGTATTTGATAATCATATATCCTGCCTTTGAACAGTGGAATTACAACGTGTTTTGGTAATCATTGTATTTCTCTGTATACTGTCTTTGAGCAACTATTTCATTCTGATTTTAGTCCAGTTTTCTTCTGAAAAACATAAGTAATCTGAATACTAGTGCGAGAATGAAGTTGACAGAGAAAGCAGGAACTGCACAGTCCCCGAGATGACAGTAGAGGCATGACGCTTTGTTTGGGCAGGCACTTACATCTTCACAGGCTTGCTATAGCTAGGAGCTTTCGTGAGTAAGGTAATAGGGTTGAGACTCAATTTCACTTTCACCTAAAAATTTACTTCTGAGTGTCAAGAAACAAAATGTAGTCTCGTTTGACACAGCTGACTGCCTCCTTGGCACTTAAAGAATGACCAACAGGGAGATCCTGCTCTATTAGTAACAGACCGTAACATCATCTTGGTCCCTAGCCACAGAATGGTAGGCCATCTTTTTGTGTGGCTATAAATACATATATAAAATACATACGTATTTTAACCTGGCCTTCAATTTATTTTATTTGCTGCTAATACAGCAGTCATTTAAAGCTGATGAAATTACATAAATTTTATTTTGCTTTCTCCATAAGGTACCTAATTAAACGAAAGCCTTTAATAGTTGTGAATCCTTTATAAGGGGTTAATGTTTTTAAAACATCTCTAACTTTGGCATGTTGAAGAGAGAAATCTTGTGACTGAAGATAACATTCATTCCTGAGTGTTAGTATGTCTTGCTTTCTGTCACACAGCACAGCATACCAATTTTATGTTGTTCCTCTGTTGGAATTGCACAAAAAAATTAAAAGTACACCTTCATGTATCACCAAGCTGTCATTAAATCACTGATCTGTTCTAATACAAAAGTAGGTAACGTTAGTCCTGATGCTAGTGGCTCATCCTTGTAATCAGGAAGAGTTTGATTTCTTTCTTTATTTTTTTAATGTGTATTGATGAATTTTCTTTTCCTAGCAAAGAAGGTGAATGGAATAGACCCAGGAGGTGGTGGTGGCAGCAGCATCGGCAATGCCAGTGGTCAGCAGACACCTTTGTTTGAAACTTACTCTGATTGGGATAGAGAAATCAAAAGGACAGGTGCATCAGAGTGGAGAGTTTGTTCAGTGAATGAAGGTTATATGATATCTACTTGGTAAGTTTCTCTTGTAAGGCAAGTAGATGAAAACAAGGCAGTCACACTGCCTGTCTCCTCTACCAAAACCTTCATCCTACCTAACCGTGCACATCACCTCTTAAATGTGCCACTCTCTGGAGAGGCGCTCAATGGAAAGATCCTGCAAGTGTTGTCATTAAAGGAGATGTCATATTTTGGCATCTGTTGCTTTCATGCTTTTGTACTTCCCTCTGAAACATGCAAATTTCTAAACAAAGACATCTGAGCTGTACCAGTGATAGGCAAGACTGTGCCAACATACAGGACATGTCATGCACTGCAGCATTACAGGCTGGTGTGTTAAACAGTTAGTAAGACAGCATTGCAGCAATAGAAAAGCTGGTCAAATATGTAGGGAACAGTAACCTTTTGTTTCGTATTTTTTCTCTAAGCCTTCCAGAATACTTTGTGGTCCCATCTTCCTTAGCAGATCAAGACCTTAAGCTGTACTCCTACTCTTTTATTGGGAGACGAATGCCAGTAAGTGTAGTCTTTATTCTGTTACTGTTATCACTGTACAATATTAATCTTAAAGTTATGTTTGCCAATTAACATAGTTCTGTGTGTACCATTAAGAAAAAAAAAAAGTACAGAGTAACACTAACCTGCATTCTTGTTATTTCTTTTGTGGTTTTTTTTCCCCATATTTAGTTATGGTCCTGGAATCACCCTAATGGGAGTGCTCTTGTGAGAATGGCCAACATTAAAGATGTATTGCAGCAAAGAAAAATCGATCAGAGGTAAAAGATGAGTTGTGTTATTCTTTGATCAGACACAGGATAGCGCAAGTGGTGACTGTGTAACATACAGCAGCAGTTGGTAACTGTGAGCATATTTGCTTCATCATGTTGTAGTCCAATAGCTTTTGATAAACTGTTCCCTGAATACCGTTCTGGCACGATTTCTATTCCAGTTTTGAATACAGAATAATTTTTCAAATTTTAAGGGATGTATACTTTTTAGAGAGCTAGTCGTTCAGATGACAAAATTTATTGTAAAAGGATCAGACTTAATCTTTTCTATTGATGTTACTGTGATGCAATTTATGTTGGTGGAGATTTTCTTACCTGCTTCAGCAAGACACAATAAAAAACATTGTGGCACAGTTCTAGAGGTTTAGTGCCACAGTGTGCGTGGTCTTTCTGTGACCTATTTGTCATTCAGTGTCTTTGATGAAAGATGAAGGCATTTAGTATTTTGCATAAGTATTTACTAGCTTGGTGTTTTTTGGTTCAATTTATAGGGTGACATTTTTGTAGTGGTACCAAAACTTGCATTGTGTGTGTTAGGCTGGAACGCTGAGTCTTCTTGCAAACCCTGTCGGATTTCCTGGCTTTATGAACTTTGTGTGTTCTGTTTATTTAGCATAGAAAAGTCTTACTAAAAATTGTTGAAAATTAAAAATTGAATAGAGCTGTTTAACCATAAGCCAGCCACAGATTTTTAATTTCCCAAACACGTTGTTTTAATGATCCAGCATTTCCTTTTTTTTTTGTTTTGTTTTGTAACTTGCAGATACCAAAATTATTTGAGTCCACGGCTTTTGTGGCAGGAGCGACATATGTCCTGACTATGAACTAGGACACTTTTTTTTAAATAAGGTGCATTTTTAATGTGGTTTTAGTTGTTTGCAGTTAGACTGTGGCCTGTTTCTTGAAAGACTGTCTCTCCCTTCCCCAGTAATAATATGGCTACTTCTTTTCTTAGGATTTGTAATGCCATAACTCGAAGCCATCCTTTGAGAAGTGACGTTTACAAGTCTGATCTGGACAAGTGTCTCCCCAGCATCCAGGAAATCCAGGCCGCGCATATCAAACTCAAACAGCTGTGTGTCAATGGTATGCTGGACTGTCCTTTCATGGTGGTTATTTTCTTGAAACACAACAAACTCTAATTGATCTGGCTAACAGGAGTAGTTTTTTGAAGTTGTTCTGCAATATACTTCCTTTCCTTGTTGCAGAGCCTTTTGAAGAAACTGAAGAGAAGTGGCTGTCCTCACTGGAAAATACTCACTGGTTAGAGTATATTAGGTTTGTACCATTAATAAAATGATGATTAACGAGATGTGAAAAATTTGAAGGATTCTCCATTGTAGTATTTGAGTTAGGTAAACAGATATCCTAGATACCTTTTTCTTCTCAAGTGCAAACCTGTTATACTAACTGTTGTTTCACTTTCTTTTCCTGTCTAGATCATTCCTTAAGCATTCTGCTGAGCTTGTGTATATGATGGAGTGTAAGCACGTTTCTGTAGTCCTACAAGGTAATACAACCATGTAGCACACTGTGATCCTTAGCATTAGTATCATAATGTAGATAAACACATTTAGATAAAATGAACTGTAATCCTCAGACATAAACCCCATTGCTTCTAAATGTTTTAGGCCTTTGAGGGACTAGAAAGGAAAATAATTTTGTTATGTCCCTGACCTGTAGTCCAGTCCATAGCATCAAAGGAATATTTCATTTTGAGACTTTTTGGTTTTTATTCTGATAATGATATCATAGAATCAAAACTTTAGGGCCAGGTTTTGTACTGTGTTAATTAGGCTAATACTCCTATCTAAGTTTTATTGTGGGGTCCTGTATACAGAAGTATTTCAGTAACAGTGGCCGCTGTGCAAGTACAAAAAGATAGTCCAGAAAAAAAAAAGGCACTGAAAAATTGCTCATGAAGAGATCAGAAATTTTGTAATTTCTGTAATTACAAGACCTGTTCAGCTGGTATGTCCCACTCTCCCCATATAATGGCCTTCCAAAAACTGCTTCAGAGTGGAAAATATGTTGAAAACTTCCAGCAACACGAACACCCTTCTTCTGAGCACATCTTGGTTTAAATAACAGACGTTTAGGTGAGCATTTTGTTCTTGATGTGTTCATTCAACCTTTTCTAATACTGTGAGTCTCAGTTAAAAAAAAGAAAAGGGCAAAAAAACCCCAAACAACCAAAAACCCCAAAGACAAACGTGTTTTTTTCTTCTAGCTTTTTTGAAACTATGAGAACAATTACAGCAGCAAAAAGCACGTTTTTAAAAGAAATTCAAAGAAAAACACTAGACTAGTTGCCACTTTTTGCTCTTTGAGATCTGATTCTGTATATGTGCATATATACCTTATGTGTTTCATATATTCTGTATGTTATTCACAGAGGAAGAGGGACGGGACCTGAGCTGTCTTGCTGCTTCTCTCATTCAAGTCATGCTGGATCCCTATTTCCGAACAATTGTTGGATTTCAAAGCTTAATACAGAAGGAATGGGTCATGGCAGGATACCAGTTTTTAGACAGGTGTAACCACTTAAAGAGATCTGACAAAGAGGTAACAATGAGTTGTATTTATATGTGATAACAGTATCTGGTTAATCTCAGCCTGAACATTTATTCACACAGCAATCTAAAAGGTCTCATGAGAGTTTCAGGTCTTGTGAAACTCATGTCAGAGAAAATCAGTCTTTGCGCAGGATAAAGATGTATTTTCTTTATCCTCGGTAGCCATGTGAGAATCAGTGAAGCACCAGGTGCAGTCAGCTGGGGTTTTATGTTGCTTCAGTGTTATGCATGAAAAGTCCCACTGTTACAAATGCTAACACAGCTCACACTTAAATTTACATAAAAGGAAGTTTTGGAGAGGGTGTTTTTGTTTGTTTTACCAAAGGTATCTGTTTTCACCCCCATTTTTTTGAATGCAAAGCCATATCAATATGCAGTACTTTTCAAAGTACTGAGCTGATAGAGAAGCACTGCAGCTTTATGAACACAGCTACCCAGCTGCCACACAGATGAATAGAATGTGGCAGATGAAAACTTCTTTAAAAGTCCCTTCAACCCAACACATTCTGTGATTCTATGGTAAATCAGGTGCAGTGCCTGATCTTT